GGGGGGGGGGGGGGAGCACGTGTGCATGCTCTTGCTGGGCTCACCAGACCAAAGATCAAGTCCCTTAAGCTGCTTTTCTGAGCCAAGAAAAGCTCACAAGTCGTCACGTTGGTCAGAACAAACGGCCTGAGAAGAGGCTGAACACAGAACAGAAACACTGGTGGAGCAGTTTATTCGTGGAGCATCAGCGCAGCCGGAGAAAATGTAGCCGGGCTTATTCATGTTGGACTGCTCATCCGACCCCGAGGCTGGAACAACGGTACCGAGTTCAAAGCCCACTGGTTAGAAAGAATGGAAATACATGAAGGGCTTCAATCCCAACAGATAAATATACCTTTTGAAACATGAGACACCTGTCCGAGTGATATTCAGTGGTGAGTTTCAGTGTCTTTCCTAGACTACGTGTCACTAAAACTGCGATCTACACGAGGCCTGTTAGTTGTAGAGTAGTAGTAAGAGGAGTGAGCTCTGAAATCGGACCGTATATCCTGACAATATAGTTTTGCAACAAGAGACTAGAAACCTTCGCGACCTCTCTGTCTGTCACACACACAAATAAAAACAAAAACCTTGACAGCTGAGAAAACCCAGTTTGTTGCATATGAGGCAAGACTCTTCATTACCATTTCCATACCACTGAGCCAAAACAAATCCTGTGAAGACACTTCACGGATGCTCCTAACATGCCACCCAAAGACATCAGGCTTCCGAGTCTAATGGGCAAGACCGAGCCTTTTTAATATTCCACAGGCAGCCGCTGAAAGGTGTTAAACACACACTGTTTACTCCTCGCATAAAGAACCGAGCAGAAAAGATAATATTGCTTCCACTGCCCGGGCACTGGAGGAAAAATAATGTGCTGTGTGTCTTATAAGCCTGGCCATGATAAACAATTTGAAAATGAGTAGGTCGCAGCGGAGGAGGGTAAATGATAAGCGACGGTTCTTGAGGATTTATTGTATCAGGTAAAAACCTGCTGTATTGATTCTCCATCAACAGAGTCATCAGAGAAAAACAACTGGTTGAATAACAACTGATTAAACTCTGAGCCGTGGATTACTTTAGTCGCATACTGTAAAACACCATAACTAACAAGGATCACCCAACAACTAACCTGAGCCGGGGAATTAAACACATTTAAAAGAAACAAGTCAAATAGGCGGCGAGATCAAAGTGGTGAAAACGGCAACATGCGGGCATACAAGCCTTTTTTTACTGTTAAACGCTACTAAGACAGTGTGATTTAGTAGTGACACGTGGAAGTGCAATAGGGCTGTTAGGAGGTTCATGATCAAAGCGGCAGAGCCACCTCATTATCTGGTCCCGACGCACAGTGTGAACATCTGGATTGTGGTTTTTTACCTCTTCTGGCCCCTTTTATCAGCGTCCTGTGGTCTCCACTGTCACAACCACTCTACTTGTCAGAGGTTATCGAGACCTGTGGTAGCCATGCAAGGCAAATCGTCTCTCCAGCAACTGATAAACAGGGTTGATAAAAGGGCCCCAGTCAGGCTGGACCTTAAGGGAGCGGCCTCCAATTTACAAGACTGGAAGTCTGCTGAGGTGGAACGAGAGCTGCTGCTGCTGTCGAGTCATGGTATAAGCCCGACACACTTGGGTGAACAACTATGCCTGATACATATAGCTTACAGTGAGGCATGTGCTTAAAGGGAATTGGATTAACTGCTGGCAAAAAAGGGGGGATTATAAACGATTCAGACTTTAAGAGTGCTTCTAAAAAGATGGATTACCATTTCAATTTCCCCCTCTTTCTTTGCTAATGGAAATTCGAATTAGCCATGTAGTGGTCAACTACTAAACAACAGCACCATGCACACTGTGTCGAGCTGAAAAAGACAAGAAGTGGGGGAAAACAAGGTGTCGGTATCTGGATTTGGTACAGCGGTGTGGTACAGGACGGCCTGTTCCCAAATCCAGATACCGACACCCTGTGCCAGGAAAAGGAGGAGGCAGAAGATGTTTCAGTGGATGTTGTACTCGTGATGGGAATGAAAACACACTGAGGCGAATCTAATGTTGTCAAATACACAAATAAAGGGGTAAATGTTTAAATCTGGCTTTAATTAAAGTATCTGTCTAATGGTTCATAACTCTGCAGTCACCATAATTCTGTGCCATACCACCATACAGAACCAGCACTGATCCTCCTGTATTTGCTTCACACTGCTCTACTCTGATTACCAGAGATGACTATAGACCATGACTGGCCGTAGGAAGAGACCATACTACAAGAATGTGATGAGAACAGCCTTTACACAGCGTTGTAGGAACAAACATCTTTTTAAATGTATTTGTGTGGGTGGAAAAATGCAACGCTGCATGGGTGCCGCAATCTGCCGACCGGCCAGCCTCGTGTGGCATCGCATACGAGCACCGAGATGACACATCAACTCTTGTCTATATTTAACTCACTGGACTCCTCTCCTTCCAATGTTCCCATCCTTTTAGAAGAGGCTGCCAGGGAGAATGGCGAGAAAAACAGGCCGAGGTGATATGTAATTACACTGAATGGGTCCAGCCTCCCACATCCTTTCATTGTACCCACACCCTCGAGATAATGAAATGGAAGGATAGTTTTTTTTTTCTATTTACCATAAATCCTGCAAGTCTAGCCACTCTTATTTATGGTGTCGAAGAAAACCCTTTACTCTTCTGTCTGCAAAGTCACCGAGCATAAACACCAGCAAGCACCCTGTGTGGGTGGCAAACTCAATCAGATAAGGGCTTCTAAGAAACCAGTCTTCACTCTCTTCAGGAGACGGTGTGGTAAACCATCACAAGCCAAGGTCTCCCTGAATACCCCACATTTCTTCCACTGTAGATACGATCATGAATGCAGAGATATAACTCTAAAAAGCCACTGAAAGGACATTTTGTTCAGATATGGGGCTAACTTTGTTGACACTACTACATACCAATCAAAAACATCTTTGGATCAAAACGAGTGCTGAACTTTTGACTTCAGTTCCAGCTCTACCTGCATGCAGCCCTTTGCCCCGGCAACCACACTGCTGCCTGCACATAACTGTAGGTGCAAAACGTGTGTACGGAGAGGGGGAAACAGGGAGGAAGAAAAAAGAAAAAGAGAGGAGGAAATGTTCTTCACTGAACACAACTGGGTCACCCTTTACTTTTTTACATTTTAAGGACCTCTTGAAGAGGAAGTGCTGCTAGAAGAGAGGCAAAAACTGGGGACGAAATGCAAGAAGGACACGATGGACTCGTTCACAAGTCAGGGCAGCGTGTGCACAAGCTTGCAGGCTGTTGTGTTACGCAGGCTTATGATTTCAAGGTGAAATGTTGAGAAGAACGAAATGCCAACGTACCTATTCTTCTCCAGCTCATTATGTGTGGACCTGCAGAGACAGAAAAACAGAAGTTGTCAAATGAAGAACAAATTTATACTTCTCCTAAAAAGGCAATTCATTCTTTTCAGGGAAATAAGGTGTAAGGTACGAGCTTCACAAACAGGGCCGAAAGAGGCACAGTGAATTACCTCGTCGAATTTTATTCATTCATTTATTAATGAATCCCAAACAAGGTCATCTCTAGTGCACTGGAGCCTTTACACTAACAAACATCACCGTGGTGGCCGGGCATTCCCTGTGGCATTATACAGCCTCTTTCCTCAATAATGCACAGCTCAACTCTGGGAGGGTGTGTGTGTGTGTGTGTGTGTGTGTGTGTGTGTGTGACACTGCAGCCACTACTCACTAAAGTTCATAATGTGCATGAGTGTGTGTGTGTGTGTGTGTGTGTGTGTTACTGGGCAAGTGTGAGCATGCACACACACATCCACACACGCCCTGTGCATGCAGCAGTCAGGGTTCAGTGCTCTGTTAATAATGTAAAGTGAATCAGCTGGTTCCTCAGAGTCTCTGTGTGTGGCAACATACTGAAGGCAGACTAGTCCTCCTCCTGACTCTTAGATGTCCGGGTTCCCGTCCACACAAACTGCACTCCACCTCGTCTCAAGGGTCACTGGCCTCTTTCTCTTTTTGGGAGGGGGTGGGGTGTGATGGACTCAACCTCTCTTGAGTCATGTACACAGCACTTCTCTATATTACGGGTTATCAATACTGCAATATGCTTTTATGCTTTTCCTGTTTCCTTTTATTTCAATACTAAGCTCATACTCAGTAGTCAGCTGACAAAACTGCCATCTTGTTAATACGGAAGCAGGAAGCGTGGGAATATGGAGAAAACAGGAGATAAGAATGGACCGAGGAAGGAAGTAGAGAGGGATCAGACAGAGGGAACTACGACTGTCCAAGGCTGTGGTTCAGTTTTGGCTCTGCCTCAGAGGAAATGATTTTTTCAAGTTTAATTATTTACTCCAATAAAAACACCATATGTCTCTATTTGAATACATTACTGTCCATGTAGTTAGGTATGCAAGACTGGACATTAAGTCAACTGTGGCAGTACATTTGATTTAACACGACACGGTCTACGGTCAGGTTTAGTGGGTGCTATCACAGCAAAACATGGCGCTCACAAGTAAGGTGGTCCGGGCCATTTCCTGAAAACCTGTGAGGGGCCTAAGTGCTCTCACGTGTGTTATTTTGACAAGTTTCAACTTACATATTCTACAACCCTGTAGTAGTGCATGCATGGCTGCGCTCTGCAACAGCCAACTAGTCACGCATAAAAAAAAAAATCACACATACCACATAAACGTCATCTTTAAACTGGCTTACAGTCCCAGAAGGATTTCTTTAAAGGGAAATTAATGGTCACAGGCTTGTGTTCAATTTCATTTACATATATAATTACTTTCTAATGACAGTGGGTCCACTGGTTTCTGTAACTGCTTGTGACTCAGAGCACTAGTTTTGATCACAGAAGATGAATACATTGGAGTGCATAATGTGCGTCACTGCTGTCACTGTGCTCGCACTGTGTCTGTGTTGCTTGGAAACCCTCATCCCAATTTCGGTGTGTAATAACGACTGGATAAATGGCTGATTCTTACACACTCCAACAATGATGAAACATTTATTTTAGGAAACCATTAAAATTGTGGCCAAGTGTTTTGCAAAATGAAAATCAAAGGACAGAGTTTAATACGAGAAACAAAAATATCCAAGTTTGAAAAGCTGGTGAAATGATGTGAAACCAATACTGATTATTTCTGCACAGAGAAATAACTTTGGTCCTGAAAGTCCATTTTAGGACAATGCTGTTGTCACTTACACTGTCTGTCACTCTGAAAAAGAGAGAGGCCTTAGGTCCGCCCTGGTCCAAGTCCCACACTACATCTTAGCATAACCTCTCATTCAGAGAGATCAATTCAAGTCAGCTTGCTTTCCCATAAGCTTTTATCATCACCAACCTCTTCCCCTGCCTCCTGAATCAGATATCTGCATGTCTGGAGCTAACAACAACACAATACAGATTATAAACTGGCTCAAGGCCACACACACACTCACACAGTGTATACTTGTGTGCATATATATGCATGTATATGCACACACACAGTGGGTCAAGGAGATAAAGCAACCCTGCTATAAACGGTAGGCGAGAGAGGACAGAGTCAGATAAGCCCATCACTTTAAGCCTCAACACGCTACCGAGTCGGGAGCTGCAGCTGGAGCAAGCTGGTGCCAAACAGCAAACTGTGTTTAAAGAAAAGACACTGTGACTTACTGTGAGTTATTACAATCAGTATATTCTAATAATATTTAAGGACCACATTCGTTCAGTGCCCTCACAGTGATTATAACTGATGAATAAACATGAACATTCATTTGGCTGAAGATGTGAAGGTCCATTTAGACAGCGTCATTGGTCAATCACACATCCTCATCTCTTCATTCATAACACAAGCAGAAGATGATACAGACGTGTAGCTTTGGTCAAACCTCTCTGGCGGATGCATGTTGCCGTCACGTCTGTGGACATTGTGAGGTGATGAAAATGGCTCACAACTTTGACTAACTAGTAAGATTCCTCACTTAAGTCAGCCGGTCGTAAAACAGGATTGTTCAATAAAAGTAGACCACTAATGACGCAGACGTGTGCCACATCAGTGGCCCTGACCGTTCCAGTGGGAATTAAATAAACTGCATCACAACACGAGGCTGGAAATGGTGTTGAATGCTAAATGGTGTCACCACCTGAGTGAGTTGTGAACATGTCTCTGTAGAGAGCAGCACCAAACATCATCCTTCTTTCTCTCTGAAAGTGCATCCTGCTGTTCCTGAAGAGTTGTTCACATTAGCAGCTGACTGAAGAGCCAAGTGAGTGAAAAGATTTTGGTTTTCAAAAGATTTAGTTTTACATTGAAGATGCTATTGTTCCCAAAAACCACGATTGTATGTAGAATTGTTACAACCAACTCTTAGGACGCTTTATGGATACAGCCTCAGCCCTATATATGATCAGCACTGTTGCCATGCAGAACAGACAGCGTTCTGCGCTCATGATGAGTAATGCGCAGTTCCTGTTTGTGGCCCGCTCTTACATTAATATTAAAAGGCCTCAGAGAGAGAGAGAGAGAGAGAGAGAGAGCGGGGCTTGCGTTTGATGTATGACTGTCAATGGACAGATTATTGTAAGCAGCCTAGCACCAGGAAAAAACACAATGACATGGGTCTTAACTTGGGAGATTCACGCCTGCTTCTCCTGGTATTAAAAGCACGTATCTGTCATCAGTGAAAGCATTGTGTTTGACAGGAGCTTTAATCTTTGTGGCAGCTAATGCAGTGATTATTAGACAGTGTTGCATCTTGCTACACAACAGAAAACACTATTAAACATATGTTCCACAACACACAACAACAGCTTGGTGTGTGCTGTGTGTGCTTGATGGTACAAGACACATGAATAGTGCAAACACGCTTTTCTTTTTAGAATATAGTTGTATGTAAAGGTGCAACTAGAGCAAATGACAACCCTAAACGTCGTTAGTCCTGAAAAGGGGCTCCACGTATTCACCTTTGGATGTCTGCAAACAACACCGGCCATAAATAGCAGCTCTTCCTCTTTAGGGTAAAAGACAAAACTACCGCTCTCTCCCACAGCGCAGAACATATATATTCGACATGTGGAAAAATGAGCTGGAAAAGCACCGAAACCTACAAACACAATTCAAGTTCAACTTCAGCAGAAGCCCGTGCGTTTATTTGACCACGGGTGAGAGGGATGCACGACATTACGAGTGACTTATTTTTCGTTTCTAAGCCGTCCCTTTCCCCACGGTCCCTAACCTCAGCCACTGCAGTCCGTTTGACAATCAGCTGATGAAAAGCTACAGAGCCGCTGGTGCTGAACCCTCCCCCAGGCCAACAAACAGCGGTGTGAAAGGCTAAACACGTTTCTACAACTTTGAGAAAACATCCATGCAAACTTTTTTTTCCCTCTCTCTCTCTCTTTTTTATTTTATTATTACAAATAAAGTGTGTTTTCAGCCTTACCAACCGTTGCAGTAAAGCGTTAATCACATGCTGTCTGCAGCTCACGTCCCCCCAGCTCAGCACACAGCTCAAAGACAGCACCTATCCGTAAAAGCACACATCTGCCAGCGTCGACAGGGACCACACCGTGCGAGAGGAGCCCGTCTCTTACCTATTGTGGTTACTGTTGAACTTCTTATTTCGGAATTTTCTTTGCCTCTGGAAGTTTGTGTTCTGATTTGATGGAAATGTCGAAGCATATCCGTGTTCACACTCTGTGGAGAGAAACAAAAAGTGTGGTTAACAGTCAGCTAGCCGCGTTAGGACACTTCAATATGCCACAATACTTTAGTTTGGACTCGAACATGTAACCGCTAATACGTTTGTGACCGTCTCCAGATTAGACCAGACAACATTTCCTTCCTTTTTTCGGTGTTTACTGTAAAACAGTCGTTACCCGTTATAAAAGCGGATACTGGCACTGTTTGTTTGTTTGTTGTTGTTGTTGATAAATACGTATTTCTCAGCTTCACACACGTCTGAACACAGAAGTACCTCTTTCTCTCCTTTCTAGATATTCCGCAGCTTCCAGTAACCGTTGGATATTTATCAGCTGAACGGCCGTCATTCTTCCCTGAGCCGTTAACCGCCGTTAACGTTAGCTTCGCAAACAGCACCAACGGAAGGTCGCTTTAAATACCGGGAAGACAGTGCATCGGTTATCACTACACTGAATTACACTTTAACAAAAACGTCGTGTTATTATCTTGTTCAGTGTTTTCGGCTGCCTTTGCCGAGAGGAGAGGGGGGAAGAAATATCCAGTGTTTCCAAGCTGGCAAGCTACAGCCAATCCTTGCCAGGTTCCGCTGTTAGAAAACCAGTGTATCAAAGTAGTAAAAGTACGTAGGAAACACGATATTAAATGTTTTACAAAAAGTGGATATAAACAATATAAAATGTTCCCCGAGGGAGCCCGGAGCCAGCAAAGTGCCTGCTGCTGCTCGTTTCCTCTCCTCTCCTGTTTGTTTACCTAACGTTAGCTGCACAGCTGAGAGGCGGAGACTGGTGGAGGAGAGGCCGGTCTACGCGCGCTGCATTCTGGGAGACCGAGTCTTTCGTTACATACATAAAATACTTCAAAATATGCCCAGTATTCATTACCGGTAATTTCACTATTTAACCAGCCTTTACTGTGATTTGTCGAGTAAAACGCCGTTCGTTGTTACTGAAGGATTTACTTGTAATTATCGCAGGTCAGTTTAATGATATCCACCTGTGGCAGAGTGCTACAGTCCGCAGGTCAACAGGAATAAAAGATAACGTGGTGATTATTATTCTTGCTTAATCGACGTTATTGTTGCTACTGGTGACAATGAAGAAAAATAATGCGGGAATAAATGACAATAATTAAATATTCACTATTATTTTAGATCCCAGGCCTCTAATACTGCATCAGAATTGTCCATAGGTCTGTTTGTTGCTAAATGCAAAAGCCAGTCTTCATTTTGGGTCTACATTTTGGCCATCAATCATTAATGTTGGTTATCTGATATGTGACTGACTAAACACAACTCACTCCCTGGGTGTCATTTATTCCTCTTACAGTCTTTCTACCCAGTCCATTTCTCTCCGCAAAAAAAAAAGAAACCCTACAAATCCCATGATTCAACAGGACGGTGGGGGTGTTCTTGTCGGCTGAAGCCAGGCCCAGCAACACATGACGTCACCGCCCAGCGGGCCTCTGATTGGCGGACGGCGCTGACAGGCGTCGAGGGTTGAGCTCGCTCCTGACCAACCGCAGAGGAGCTCTGCGCCATGTGGAACTCACTGCGACACGCCCACAAATAGCAGGAAGCAAACAATCGAGAGAGAGGAGCTGCGCTGCTGCGATCCGCTGCCACAACGTTAACAGGAACATTCCCACGTTACACTGTAATAAGTGATATTACTCAGAGGAGGTCTGCAACGCGCATCAGCACATATGCTACGCTTTTCTGCACAACACAGCCATGCGCGGACCGACTCATACCTAAACAACAACAAAAAAAAAAAGATCTTATTTCCCACGGTCTTTAAATCATGACTCGTTAAAAATAAAAAAAAACGAGGAAATCATTACTTAATTTAAATTATGCGTTTAATAAAAAGGATCCTGCCATTAAATCATAAACAGGTCCATCTGCAATTTGTAAGAGCATGACATCTGCAATCAACCTACACCGAGTCAGCTAATTCCTCATAGGCTAGAGACATTTAGAAACAAGCACAATTACCAACCAGGCCACTCATTTCTATGCTCCATAAATACCCGAGTCACTATTCAGTTGTGTCCTCTGCGTCTTATCTATAAAGTTTTTTTTTTTTTGGTTTTTTCGATCGAGTCTGCGGGGGCACAATGACATCATCCTAAACTGAGTTGGAGGGCGCTGCAATGTGCTCAGATTTATCATATCGGAGTGGTAGCCAGCACGCACACCCACATACCTACATATTGCTTTATCTATGCTGAGGGGAAACATTACAGATTGTTGGATTGAGAGTTGTGCAGGCGCAAAGCGACGCACAGTCCCCCGGCATGCAGATAATGCAGGAAAACAACAGTCCAGAAAATAATGAAAGCCTTTATGTTTACTCTCCTATAACTGCAATGAGTACATCACTCATATTAGTCTGGTGCAGGCACGGGCTGTGCTCATAGCAGGCAGTGGTGCTTAGTTGAATGAACTCAGCCCTTTGTTGTCTGAGTCTGTTGACAATGAAGTGTTGTTTTCCCTGAAATTCAGAGGCAAATGAAAAGGATCAAACGCAGCACAAATAAACTCACTTCCGTCTTTCCTCTCGGCGCTCTCAAGAAAGCGAGCAGCCTCCAGCAAAACTTGTACGTTTTTCAGAAAAGTGTTGATCTGCTCCATGTGGGAGTCTTTGGAGTTGAAGACGTCATTGAAAGGGCAACTAGACATCTCGAAATCTTGCTGATCCAAGAGAGACGCCTCGGAATCGAAAAAGAACTCCTCACTCTTCAAACTTCTTCTTTGCCTCTCACTTTTGGCCATTTTCCCCCTTCTTAGTTTGTGTGTCTGCAGTTCTGGCGACGTGCTGAGCGCAGTAAACAGTGAGGCAGCTACCGGTGGATGCTGCTCTTGTCAGATGGTTCCTCTTTTCTTTTTTTATGAATGCGGGGTGTTTAATGTGGAGCAGTGGCCAATGTCAGTAGATGGTGGTGCATGGGAAAACTGAGAGCCCGGCCCCCCTCTGTCTGAGGAGTCCGCATGGTCCCTGTGCCCGTCAGTAGAGGACTCTCTGTTGTAGCTATACAGAGTAAAAGAATACATTCACATGTCATCGCCACATTAGAGTCACACAGTTTATCAGCTGTTTTATACACAATCTGAATGTGTTTCAGTTTTCTGTCTGTTACTAAGTACAATGTAGGGATGGCGTTAGCATAGTGGAAGCAATAGTAGAGCTGGTACAAGCAGTTACAGCAGCATTTGTGGTACTAGTACAGATAGTGTACTGCTATTTTACTTAAAGTAGGCAATTGATGTAAAAAGAAATAAAAAATACATGACATATTCTTTGCTCAAAAGTTGGTTTAAAATGTTTATTTAATACTATCCAGACTAGTCTTCCTTAAATAAAGCGATGCAGTAACACAGTAACAGAAAATGAAAGTGAATGAAAAATAAATATAACATTAAAGGGTGATCTGTATGAAAGCAGAAAGATGAGTGGACAGAATTCAAACTAGTAGTGTAAAAAAAAAAAAACTAGAGAATTACATTTTGGAAGTGAAGTCACCAACACCCTTTATTGCTTATTGGACATTTACTGCACATAGGGTCATGGAGTTCCTGTTTTTAAGTATGCTGAAGTATGCTACTTCACTAAAAATCTACTTTAGTACTGACATTTTACTTACAGTAGCCAACTGATGTATTTGTGATAGCAGCAGTAGTAATGCTAGCTTTAGCAGTATTATAGTAGCTGGAGTAGCAGCAGCAGTAGTTGTGTGAGTAGTTAAGTGTGTGCTTTTTTTGACATTTTAGGCCTGTAAGACGTCAAAGCAAAGCTGACTTTTCAATAAAAAAACACTAATATGAGCTTTGGAGATAGGAACTTTAATAACAGACACTATAGTGCGTCTATAGATCCTTTATATGTGACAGGAATTTCGACAGAGATAATGCCTTAGCCTTGATCTTGTGCCACTCTCAGAAGACCTTTAGCGGAGCTGTTTTTACACTGCGGCACAGTCCGTTTTGAACCGGAACATGTCATGGCAGAGACCTGTATTCAGCTCTGATACCCCCCCCACCCTCTGCCACTTCAAAGAGCCAGCAGCAGCCCATGACCGTTTGATGTTAAGTTCACAGAGACAGAAACTTTCAAGTCCAACGCACAGGGGAATCTCTGAAGGTCCCTCCCGCCCCTGCTCCCACCTCTCCACCCACAGTTAGGGGTAGCTGTAGAGGAAGGAAACCTATTGGTGAGCGGCCCTGTTTGGAGTTCAGAAGGTGCCACCACCGTGCTGACAAAACGAGTGGATTTTGAAAAGCACTCGGCAACATCCTCTTTAGGATTTTAGGCCAGCCTCCCCATTTTAGGTTACTGGGTGCAGTTTTGTAGGCTGTGCTTTTTAATTTGCATTAGCCGCCTGAAGTGCATAGCTTCAGGGCAACCTTCCCTCAAGGCACAGACATTTAATGTAAAAGCAGAGATTAAAAGTATCCATCAGAAATTGTTAAGGCTTGATCTTAATATTTTACTTCTCAGTAAAGGTCACAGGGGGTCACAAACCCAACAAGCCACCGTTAAACCAGGCAGGTCACGTGCTGCAGGGAGGGAGAAAAGAGGAATGATGAAAAGCAGGAGGGAGTCATGTGTCCCAGTGGGCAACACTGGTCACAGTTTAAAGATAAAGACTTAAGAGAGACAATATAGCTCAGGGGTATGGATGTCCTGCAGACACATTGTTTGTAGCCTGTCCTTACACAAACAGGTCAAACCAGTTCTCTTCACGCTATCACTCCAATTAAAGTAATTAAAAGGAAACTTCCATGTCAAAACAAGTGTACTCATAAATCCATGGAGAACAGACTTCCAGAGGAGAGACAGGGACAATGGTCAAATGTTTTCAATAAGACCAGCTCATTTTTCTGAGCCTGAGGGGCTAACCACAACAACCAACAGCTAATCTGTATGTTAAAGGGGAGGCAAAAAGGAATGCTAATGAAAATAAAATGATGTGCTGCAACAGGGATTGTCCATTAAGCGTAATACCCTTTGAGCAGTTTCCAAGTGCCCAAGGTGACGTCTTTAAATGCTTTCTATTTCCAACCATTTGCCTTAAACTCCAATGTATTCAGTTTAAAATGATATAATGATATTATTATATAAATTTGGCAGCGACGTGGCTTTGAGGGATAGCAATGTCTGACAGTTGGATCCACCACTTTGGTCCAGATTGAAATATCTATAACTATGGGATGGATTGACATGAGAAGATGAATCCTACTGACAGATTACTTATCCCCCACTTGTCCTGGAGCGCCACCATGAATGTGCATAGGTACAGCCTCACTGAGCTGCCAACATGGCTGTAAAATCTTAGTAATAAATGTATTAAAATAGCCGGAGATGAATGTTTTTGTTGATCCGCTGATTATTTCAGCACTAGTTGTTTGAGCATGGTAAAGCTGATGTTGCAGCTGACTGAGATGAAGATCCTAGTGTGATGCAAACGACAATGCAAGCCCATAATTAATCACAGCCAACTATGTTTTCATATAAAAACATATTTAGGCATAGTGAACGCTGATCTAAACACATTTCGCCTGGGAGAAATTTCAGAGTTTGTTTTGCCAGAGCCACTTTTCATCATCCCTGAGTCAACATCATCTATTCAGTCTCTGTGGATTGAAGACACATTAGAGTGGCCTAGCCGGCAAAATGAAACTCTCAAATCTTCTAAAGGCGGTAACACAGGGATGGGAGACACATTGACATAATAAAAATGCTTGGCTATAATGGGT